AAACCTTCAGAAAGTCGAAAGTGACGGCGCTCCGTCGAGGCTGTCTTTCATTTCTACTCTCAGAGCAAAGAAAGCACAATCACTTTGATCTACACATTGTGCAATTTTTGACAATACAAACAACGCAGCTTCTCAATGTTCCTGAACTGACCCTCTTCAAAAACTTCAGAAAGAACCTTTTCAGACGCAGCAACCGCTTTTGAAATACTTGAAGCCCGTCTGTGATATTCTAGAAGTACTTGCCAGTGATTCATGCATGCTTGGCCACTGAGCGAGCATGGCAGTAGCAAGATTTTTCATCATCGTTTCATTAGAAATTTACCATTTACAGATAGAGTGTCCCGATGGAACTTTTTGTGTCGAGGGAAAGTGCTATCCACACTCGACGATTAAATGCAACAGGTTGTAGATTTTCTTACGTCAAACTTGTATTTTTGTTTGATTTCCTTGGACCTGCAGGATTAAAACGGTTCCATTTTACAGTCTTGAGCTTCTCGACAAATCCATAGCTTAAATGCACAGTTCACGATAAAAATGGCGTGTGAAAATACCGTCAGGAAAAATCTGTGGCCCCCTCGTATACCAAATGTTGCACTTACTGTTACCATACCGTTTTTTATTGACGGAAAGCGATCTAGATAGGGTGGTATAAAGGCTCGAGGTCCGTAAGGATAGTTTCGTGCATATACGCGGATGAGTTTCAACGGCATTGTAGAGGCTGCACCATTCACAAGGGAACCCATGTAGGAAGTTCAAACAACCTGTCATGACCCATAACGACAGTGAAAGGCGATTCTGGGCAGTTTTGGCTTGACGTAGACAGTCCTTGCGCAATTTCAACAACTGAAGTCTCCCCTTCCATCTCATTTTCGTCTTGAAATCTCGTACAACTTCTATTTTTCCTTCTTTTTAGGAACCTTAATTTTTACATAATCGGAGAATTTTTTTCGCTCCCTTCACCACTGATGTACTATTCCAAACCGATCCTTGCGTTTTTCGACCTGAAAAGGGTACCTCAAAATTATCGTAAACTGTGCTTTTAAACTTGAGCTGCCTATAAAATCCCTATGGGTCCCTACTTGCAATGCCATTTGGGGAACCCGCAATAAGTGATTGAATTCGGCACGGGAAAATCTCACAGCGAAAACCTCGTATGTATTATATTATATAGCATACATTGAGGACCGGCATTTGTAGCTGTCCAAATCTCATATTAACTCTTATAGCCTTACATACCGGATCCCTCCCTAGATACCTCTACATGGGCTTCAGCCTAGGAATCCCATTTGTCACTCTTTGTTGTCTCACAAGGATGGCGATTTATGGACAAAACTTCAGCCTCGGTTCGAGTCCCGTCCGAGACTAAAGTTTTGTTCATAAATTGCCATCCTTGTGAGACTTTCGCATCGCGTACTGCGGCGATATAACAACAGTTAACAAAACACCAAGTCAAAACTCTTTGTTGTATTCGCTATTTGCAGGCATGTGCTCACAGCAGAAGGCCAGGCTCGTAGCATTGTTACCGATTGTGGCAAGAAAGGAAAATGCCTGAATGGACAATGCGTATACGACAGTGGGTCTACGATAATCAGCTTTTAGGAAAGCACGCAATTCTAAACACCTTCCTGTTCGTAGTATCTATACGTAGTAATGAATCGAAACTTTGTGATTTGCTTAAATTGCCAATTCCTGAACAGTGATAGTGTCCTTGTCCAAGCCCCTCTATTTTCGCCTTATATGTGAAGGGATTTCTGGTTGTCTGAGGCCTCTCTTACTTCATTGTGTGTGATAACCGTATCAGAATGCACGCGGAGTTCGAAACTCGTGTTCTGTCCGTTTGCCTGATTAACCGGATAGCGACATACCTTGAATACCTTGGTGTCCGCTCTTCAAGGATGATTTCGCCATCCTTGTAGGATGCATCTATGCCATTCATTTCGATTTCTTGCCACTTGTTGCCACCTCTGCCCGAATTTCTAAAAGAATCACTTCACCTGGCTGGGGTCTCCCTCGCGGTCTTTATGCTTCACGGAGGTACCAATTGGTCACACTGGATGCCCAACGGTTGTCATTCAGACGATCTACATGTCCTGCCCATCGTCTTTTCGAGTCGTAGATATTATCAATCACGGACAGCGACATGCTCGCTTCTAAACCAAAACCCGTTATGCTCCCATGACATTGTTCCTAACATGAAGCACATCGTGACAATCTTGTTGGCACTCGCTATCGTGCCTGTACGGGTGCTCGGGATCTTGTGCCCTTATGACTAATTCGGAGTGCATTATTCATGATGAAACAGACATGAAGGTATCATAATATACCCATTCTTACTTTCTCATTGAGCAAACAACTTTCACGACAGCAATTCCTTTTTATTCTGAACTTATCTGCTCTTTCCCGGTCATTTGCGTTCTATTTCATCACATTCATTCCCTGTATCATGCATTCCTATGCAAGAGTGGTCACCTTCGTTCTATCTATTCCAATTAGCTGCAGACATATGGTCCTTCAACGAAGTGGTACATTTAGGTTTGCGACTATATGTAAGTAGCTGGGTACCTTTCTTAT